TATTCCTGTACTAAACTGTGTTTGCTTCATAATAAGTAACTGCTCAAGGACAACTGGAGCATAGTCATTTCTAAAATAAACATTTTTTTAAGTTCTTCTTGAATCCAATTCTACAAACGCAAAGTTGAAGGAACACTGCAGACTTCTTCACTGCCTTGAGGTTGGTTGGCTCGCCGAGCTGGTTTGTTGTTCCGCAGGCGTTTCATTACCGTGCTGGGTAACATCCTCAGTGCAGCCTCTGATGAAGCTTCATCGGAGGCTGCACTGAGGATGTTACCAAGCACGGTAATTAAACGTCTGCGGAACAATAAACCAGCTCGGTGAGCCAACCGACCTCAACACTCACAACCCTAGCTACAAATCTATTCTTCACTGCCTTGCAGTTGTCTTATTTGTAACTGTTAAGGAGATTATCTCCTATTTGCCTAAAAAGGTCCGGTCTAATTAATCATTTTCCTTTTTCGTTTCAGGGTAATATCTATCAAAAATTACAATCCAAAGATAAGAATTATAACACAGATGTTACAGTATCATAACAAGGTCAGAATCTTTTGTATTGATACAGAATGATGCTTTGATTACTCCTGAACAATCTAATAATTTGAGAGGGCTGCAAACGTTGACTGACTGTTGAGTCCAAACCCTGTGTCTAAATTGCAAAGGCTTAGGATTAGTGTGCAGGTGCTCCCAGTCGTTTTCAGCAAGGGAAACAACATGCTGTTGATTAACAACAGAATCATTACAGCACAGAAGAGGCTATTCAGCCTATCTGGTCATACCAGCATGGTGAAAGAGCCATCCAATTGGTTCCAAACCCAACCCCTCCACAAATGCTCGGTATATCTCTGTATATTCTTCTATGTTACACTCAGGTTTCATGCATTTGCCTCCTGAAGTAACCAGTGAGTCTGCCTCTGCTGTCGTCCAAGATAGTGTGAGGGTCAGGTCTAAATCTTGGAGGAGAGGATTCAATACCGAGTGGCGACTGAAGATATAAGCTACGGCCCATGCGGCGGGTGGGTTGGCTGTCTTGGAGAGGGGATTCCTGCTCCTTCTGACTGTCGAGCAGTCCTCCTCTTTCCTTAGCTGCCCAGTTAAACCCAGAGGATAGATAAAAATGGAAGGCAGCATCCTCGTAATTTTGAAATGAACTTGCTGCCTGGTAAGCCGGTTGGGTTTTGTACTGAGATTGTGAAAATTTCCACATCCAACCTGACCTCCAGTCACCTGAATTACAGTTAAAGTTCTCACAAACTCTATTGACTACATGGAACTTAGCCTCCTGAATTTCAAATCCTGAAGAGGGTAGGTTGGAATAAATCCATCTGTAATACTTTCCAAATATGGAGGACAAGCTAATGCGACTGTTTTGAGAAAGGCAGGGGTAGCGGGAAGACTGATGGAGAAGTGAACTAGGATCTCCTGTTGCCTGTGGTATCATTCCCTGGGGAGAATATGAAGAGAAACAAACAAAGACATGGAATACCCTAATGGAAAATGACTTGCTCTATGTATGTTCAGTATCATTTTCTTCTTCTAGACTGAAAGCCTGGCATGTGGCATTGAAACAGAGAGATATTTGATATTTTGTGTCTGTGCCAACAATATAACTTCCTGACAACAACCTGATTTGGGTCCAAGCTACAGACTCGCAGCAGATGTTTCTGCTCCTCTCATTTTCCCCTCCATCGTGCTAATGCAGGATTCCCTCAGACTGATGGAGAAAAAAATACATTTAAACAACATATTTTTGTAGAAAGCATAGAATGTGACCAGAAGGAGCATGAGGCGTTGTATCATTTAAGGAGAGCTTGATGATCACTTTGTTTTCAGGAAGTATTTTAAACACAACCCTTGCAGTGGCCTCTCAAGGAATCTTACTGCACACGAGTGCAAGCTGCTATCAGCAGCAGTTGCTCCTCTCTGTGGTCACTACCTGTAACTGCAGAGGGTGAGACTTGTTCCCTCACAATGTATCTTGCTGTTTTTGAAGGAAGAATAAGCATTGAGACAATCACATTGAAACATACATTTCTTTTTCCTTGATTTAATTAGTTAGACGTTTAGTGTGAGGAACCTGGAGGATTTATTGCTCTCCTCGCAAGGAATCCATCGAGTCATAGAATCCCTACAGTGTGGAGCCATTTGGCCCATTGAGTACACGCTAGCCCTCCGAAGCACATCCCACACAGACCCACCCCCTACTCTAACCCTGCATTTCCCGTGGCCAATCCCCTAACATGCACACCAGAGCAAACGAAGGAAACCCACCCAGACACTGAGAGAACATGCAAAACTTCACACAGACCGTCACCCGAGGCTGGAATCGACCCTGGATCCTTGGTGCTGTGAGGCAGCAGTGCTAACCACTGAGCCACCTTGCCGGTCCTATCCTGTGCTGTGCTGTGCTGTACAGTGAAGTCTGCTCCTGTCTTCCCCTTGCAGCATGCCTGGATAGGGAGCTTAGTGCCTGAGGAAAAGGGAGTCCAGAACAAGAGTATATTAGTTTAACATTAAAGTTGGTCATTCAGGGGTCATGTCGAGGAATACTTCTTCACATAAAAGGAAGTGGCTCAGTGGAACTTACTTCCATCCTAAAAAACAGTGTAGAGACAATGGGTTCAATTGAAATTCCCAGATCTGATTTTGACAGATTTCTTCTAGGCTACCTTATTAAGAGTTACAGTATTAATGCCGTTGAATGGACTTAAGTTACAGTTAAACCATAATCTAATTAAATGGCTTAACAGATACGACGTGCAAAGGACTTTGTCCTGTTTGCTTTCTGCTCATGTCATTCCCTCAAACGGCTGCATTTCGGAGATCGTTGTACCAGGCACTCCAAGCACTAACTCCTTTCTCAATTTCACAATTCTGTGCATCTTGAATGTTCTGCATCATCTGCCACTCCTGGTGTAAGCCTTTGTCATCCACCGGGTTTTGATGGCAGAGTGGTATTGTCACTGGACTAGTAATCCAGAGATGCAGAAATATTCTGGGGACCTTGGTTCAAATCCCACCTCAGCTGGTGATATTTGAATTCAATCTGGAATTAAAAGAGCATGAAGCCATTGTCATAGAAACCCATCAGGTTCTTAACCTGGCCTGGCATATACCTGGCTCCAGACCCACTGCAATGGGATTGACTCTTGACTGCCCTCTGTGCCAGAGCCACTCAGCTCCGAACTTCATTGCAGCCTTGGTTTAAAGATGAACAAAAGAGCTGAATTCCAGAGGTGGGGGTGAGTGGACGGCCCTTGACATCAGCATCACATTTGACCAAGTATGGCATCAATGGCCCGTAACAAAACTCGAATTGGGGCGGGGGTGGGCAGCTGTCAGCTGATTGGAGTCATACCTGGAGCCAAAGATAGTTGCAGTTGTTGGAGGTCAGTCAGCTCAGTTCCAGGACGTCACTCAGTGCAGCACAGTATTTTGCCCCCAACCATCTTCAGCTACTTCATCAATAACGTTCCCTCTACCACAAGGTCAGAAATGGGGATGTTTGCCGACGATTGCACAATATTAAGCACCATTCACACCACCACAAGCAACAGCCAAGGAATTGTACTTGCTCTCAGTGACCCGAAGGTAATGAAGAGGGAAAAGGCTTCCTATTCCACATGTCTATACTTCCTTTCCATCTGCCTCCCTCACCCTGTGCCCTCAATAGAAAGTGTGCATGTGGGTGTTGGATGATGACGGGATATTTTTGGCCACTAAACACCGTATGGTTATGTAACCTACTGACGTTTACAGTCTGAGTGAAGAAGGACCAATTCAGTGAGGTATTCTGCTCTAGTCTCCTCCCAAGGGCCAGTCAATGGTAAGACTATAAATTGCTCTTTGTTAACACATTTGTGTTTTCTTCTGTGCTGGGAATCCTTACTGCCCCTAGAAGTCCAGGGAAGGAAGTTGCTCAGAAATTAAGTTTGAAAAATAACCAAACAGGCTCTCCTACGTCTCCAGTTCCAAAACCAATCAATCGATTTGATTTTTAACAGAATTTTCACTTTCTTGGTTAAGATCTGTTTGTTTTGGAATTTTGCTGTAATTATTCTTGCATATATATTTAAAATGACTATGAAGTACATCCCTTCAAGTCCAGGGTTCTCACACCTGTAAAATGTCAGGCAGCAAACTGCAGCCCTGACAGCCCAGGCACAAGGTGGGTGAGGGAAACTGCTTTATATCGAGTATACTTTCTGCCTCTGTTATTGGAAGGGCTGCAGCTGCTTTTGTTTTTGTAGTTCATTACAGAACAGAAATGCTACACTGGCACTCCTGCATGAACAATATAAAAATAAAACAAAATGTTTAACCAACGATATTGGAAAGGTATGAAGGGCCCTAGGGAGCTCACGCTGAATGGGCAACAGATGTGAATCCAGATTGAAGTACGTGTTTGTTGCACACTGCTCCAGTGCCACCCTATTGTTTGGGGTTCCCAGCAAAAAGAAAGGAGACAGTTTGTTCAAACTTTTCACAAAGAACTGCATATTTTTTCATGATGTTTATGGGGGGCAGTATGAGCAGAATTCAATTTATAACTTCTATTTTATTTTTGCTCTCCTCTGCTATCAGGCCCATCTGCTGAACATACCCAGCTGGAATTGGCGAGAAGGGGATGATGCAATCTGCCTAGCTGAACTGAAGCTGGGTTTTATAGCTCAAAGCTGCCTGGCTCCAGGCCTGTCTACAATGCTGGCCAACCTCTTCTCCATGAGGTCGTTCATCAAGGTACAGTACTGTCTCTTTGTATTAAGCCTGACAAAACATTCATCCCACTTGTCATTCTTTTGTAAAAATAAAAGAATATATCTCAAAGGAAAAATACAAAAGATGGAAGATATTGCCTTTTTTTGTGCTTAACAGCAGGTGCCCCTCACATACCACAGTTTTTAATGTGTGCCAGTGCTTCAATAATTCAAATGGAGTGCAAATCTAATGTTGTTTTCGTGGGATTTAATTTAGTGAAACTAATTGTGCACAGCTTATATATTTGGTGCGGTGTTTAAAAAGGGATTGCTGCCAAGCATGTAGAATGTTAAGCTATAAAGAGGTGAAGCCCAGATGAGTTTTTTTGATTGCAAGCTGTACATAAACAAGAGTCAAACCACTAGGAACCCCTGTCAGCATTGCCAATTGACCCCACTACGATTTCTACCAAAATGCGTAGCATCAAGAAAGGTCTACTTTCTGTCATCCCTTGCCTACGGATCTGCAAAACCGCCATCACAGTTTTGTTTTCATAGACAGATAAATGCTTGTGGTGCATAGATGATTAAAGATGTGCTGTTGCATCTACTTTCTCCAAAAGTATAAGAGCCGGGATCTCCTACTGAGTCCAAGATTGGTGGGTTTAACTCCCACTCCATAGACTTGAGCACATTAATCTAATCCAGCACTCGGAAGCAGTGCGAAAGAAATGTGGGACTGTTGGGGGTGCCATTCTTCAGATGCAACATTAACTGGAGGCCCTGTCTCCTCTCTGAAATGGAGATGAATTATTTCAAAGAAGAGCAGCTAAGATATTTCACTGATCTTGGACATTATTTCACCTTCAGCAATGATACAGACTATCTTCTGTCATCATATTGGTGTTTGAGGGAGCTTGCTGCATGCAATTGGCTGCCATGGTTCCTACATAATATGTCTTGGGGCATCCGGAGTTTGTGGAAGGCATAGTATTAATGCAAGTCTGCCTTTCTTTCTATGAATTTTTTTCAGTGCCCATGATGACAGTCTGAGAACAGAGGTTATGTTAAAGCTGTAGTGGCACTTCTGTGGCATCCCTGACCATGTGACTGAAACATGTCAAAGGACTTCATAGTGTGAATACTACTTGGAGTTTGTTAAGCAAACATGGCAGCAGTTTTTTGCCTGTAAAGTCATATCAAGAGCAAGAGTTAAATGGCTGCTCCCTCTATTTCTTTTGGTGATGTTGGCTGAATGTGGAAAATGAGAAAAGCTTAATGCCACAGAATCTTTAAAATCTCCTTGAATGAGCAGACGTGTCATCATTTGATATCCCACACAGGTGGATGGAATTTCATTGTGCCGTGACCTGAAATAGGCAATCACTCTTTACCTGATGAAAAGTTGTGACTAAAAACTGATGGTATCATTGTCTATGAGGGTCTTCTTGCACAAAGATAAATTACTGTTTCCATGCTGTGTAGGATTATCAAGTTGAGAGGCATAAGGATAAAATGGAACTTCACTGAGATCACAAAATATGTATTAGCTCATTGCCTACCAGTAAACAGGCTATTTTTTATTTCAAAGATATACTTTATTCATAAAACAAATCTAAATGTAAAATGTGTATATATATACTTTATACCCATATACACATACATAGTCACAAATGCAGTTCAGTTCTGTACAGTAGCATATGAGGAAACAAACATTGGAGTTTGACTCTATTCAACAAGCAAACCAAAGGCATCTCTTACTTGTACAAGACAATGTTTACATGCATTTGAGGAACCAGGAGAGGCCGATGGACCCCTATTTAACTTTGGCAGAACAACCTCGGACAGTGGCCTTTTCCCACTGCGCCTTGGCAGCAGCTGCCCCAAGCATTAGTGCGTCCCTCAGCATGTAGTCCTGGACCTTGGAATGTGCCAGTCTATGACATTCCGTCAGGGTCAACTCCTTGCTGTGGAAGACTGACAGGTTCTAGGCAGACCAAAGAGCGTCTTTAAAAAGTTGTTTGCCCTCCAGGCATGGTTGATATTTATGTTGGTGTGCATCCTGGGATACAGACCGTAGAGCACAGAGTCCTGTGGCACAGAGCTGCTCAGGACAAACCTCAACAAACACTGCTGCATCTTTCTCCAGACTTCCTTTGCAAAGGCAAACAGACTGGCATGCCTCAACTCTTTCAGTTGAGACTTTGCAGATTGAAGTGTATGCCACTGTGTGATGCCAGCCTGGTTTCTGAGCAATGACCATTGTGGCTGCTGGGGGTAATCCTAAATTCTTCAAAGAAGTAACAGGCCCTCATTTGTATGGAGCCCATGACCCCTGGAGGTGTGAAAATGCTTCACTGCCAATGAATTAGTTTGAAGAGTAGTTTAATTTCCTTAGAAGTCAATGGAATTGCAAATAAGGTGGGTGTATAAAGGGTGGATAATTTGCTGCTTCCACTTAATAGCTCTGCCAGAGTTGAGTTGGTCCTATAATATGGTGTGACACATCAGTGTGGTGCTGAAGGAGTGTTGCGTTGCTGGAGGTATTTAAGTGAGATTGTTAAACAGAGGCTCTGTCTGCCTCTTCAGACAGATCTGAAGGATCCTGTGCCTGTGGCACTGTTCAGAGAAGGGCGTGGATGATTGCCTGGTATCCTGGCCAACTTTTATTTTTCAACCAATGCCACCAAAATCGTCTACTCGCTCATTACTGTTTGTGAAACCTTGTGGTGGGCAGGTCAGCTTGACTGCTCTCCAAAGTAATTTATTGGCAATGAAACCTTTTAATCCTCCTGAATCATGAAAGGCTCAATATAAATGTAGGCTTGTCTGATTTTAATAAATTTTGTTATTATGCTTGACATCCATGTTAGCAGTTGCATAGAACGGACCTTCTGGAGCTCAGTACCACATGCTAGCACATGCTTCAATCTGTAAAACCATGTTGGAGTCAATCTGGCATGTAGTTTGTGTTTGCTCATTTGTTTTCAGGATGGCATGACCCAGTAATGAGCAAATTTCAGCAATATTTGTATTTGTCAGGGATTGAAATGTCTTTAAGGAGATTCCTTATTATATTTCTATCGAAGGTTGAACCTTGGTTGTGTATTTGTTTCATAAAATGTGGACTCCCAGTACAGCACCTTCACCAGTGCATAAGCACAGAAGCCTATTTTCAGTACTTTGTGAGGCACATATTTGACATTGGTGCTTTCTGGCTCATTAGCAGCTGTACCTCATCCACTGTGGCCGAATACTAGCTCAGTTTGCAAAAAAATACAGGAAAATAGACAGGTACATGTATAGAAATAAACATTGATGGAATTAGATGAAGTAGCGAGGAGGTGCATAAATACTGGTCGAGGCCACTTAGGCTGAGTTGCTTGTTTTTGTGCAGTAGATTTTATGTAAAACTGTGAAATTCATTGAAGATCTGGATTTGTCAGTAATCTAGCCTCATCAATTAAATCACACAAAGAACCACATGTAACATGATTAAAATATTTTCAAAAGCCTGACAGATCCTTCCCACAACAATCTGTTGCTCATAAAAATGAATGTTTAGAGGACTACCAGTTGTGGACTGTGGAAGAACTTAGTAGATGATGTGGATTCTGTTGAAAGCCATTTATCAAACCACCCTTACCTTGTAGCCTTGACAGAAAGTGTATTCCATAGAAATAAATAGGCTGAGATTTTAAAAGTCTAAGCTATAGATACGATGCTTAAACAAACCATAATGCATTTATAATGATTCTTGAACATCTTTGATTCATGTACTGCTCTCCTGCGTTTATAAGCAATGAAGGTTTGTTCTTTTGTATGCAGTCTCTAACTATCAGCAGTATGCCACTGGGGTATTTTTATACAGCTTTCAAGATATTCAGCTAGCATTATATAAGGTTTCCAATATGACACTCAGGCCACCAGTTTAAAGTGCTGTCCTGAAGAAGCCAAGCAGGAGTTTTAGTTTAATACAGGTTGATGCATTTCTAATAAAATCATTGCATGTATTATTACTCTTTAATCGATGTGCATTGTGTCTGCTGGCTTTCACACTGTGCCTGCATTCCGAAACATGATATGAAGCGGATAAGCCCTTTGTAGTACAACCCTAGCATTTCAGGCCTGTAGTAATTTACAATGCTTATCATTAAATCTTCATGACCATTTCACTAATGTCGAAGTTCCAAGGTTTATATCAACCTGTCTGCAGTAATTTCCAGCTTGAAATTCAGACCAGCAAATATTTCTACACATGATATGAAAAATAGCAAGATGTCAACCTTGGCTCCGAGGTTAACACTTTCCACTCAGTCAGCAGGTTGCTGGTTCAAACCCTGAACTGAGTGTATAAATAAGTTTAGGACTCCAGTGCAGTATTGAGAGAGTGTTCTACTGTCCCTGGTAAGATGGCCACGCCTGGTATCTTAAACAGTGTAAAAAATTTAATGATAATTTTCAAGGAAAAGCCAAGGAATTCTCACTGGTATCCTGGCCAATATCTCAATCAATGCCAGCAAAATATAGCTGATCATGTCATTACCTCACTTCTGTGCAAATATTGACTGCTATGTTTACTGCAATGGAAAAGAATAATCAATTCTAAAGTATTTCATTCGCACTAAACTGCTTTAGTCCATTTGGAGGCCATGAGTGGCTACTGTGACGATACTGTGGGTTTAACAGGTTATTTTGTCCTGATTTTTGTTTTTGAAGACAGGTTATCAGGCAGAGGTGCAGAGCAGTCTACCAGAGTCATTGGAGTAAACAGTTGTGAGGCTTTAGAGATAGTAAGAACTGCCGATGCTGGAGTCAGAGATAACACAGTGTGGAGCTGGAGGAACACAGCAGGGCAGGCAGCATAAGAGGAACAGGCAAGTTGATGTTTCGGGTCAGGACCCTTCTTTTTAAAATAGTTGGAACAATAGAAGCTGCCTGATTGGGTGTGGTCAAGCTCCCACAGAACCAGGATTTTTACTTTAGGCTTTCAGCAGTTGCTGTTGGGGGTCTTTAAAAAGTAGAAGCTATTTCTTTCCTCTC